TGAAGGGGGACAAGAGAGTATCAAACTACGCTCAATGGGTCTACTTACTTCGTTCTCCTCTAGCGCTCGCTCAGTAATTCGGCGAAGCTTCTCCTTCAACTGCGTCTTGTAGTGACGAAGGATCTCATCGTCGCCTAAGCCTCACAAAACCACAGCCACGCGAATGAACATGTGTGTCTGCCTTTCAGACTCCTGCAACGACTCCAGAAGGCGGATACAGCCTCATCTTTTGGGCATTTTCTGGAGCCGGTTAGGTAAATCGAGCAGCGGCTGCTAAGCCAATAACTAACCAATTGCATGGATCTTGAAATGCTCCGAATACTTGCGCTGCAACTGTTCTGCTCCATCTTGCAATTCTTTTGTGGGTACAGGTAATTTTGCTTGGAAAGTATCCCTCAGCTCTTTAGTGAAAGCGTCCTCGCATACTTGCTTCCAACGTCTGCACTCGTCATGCTGAATGGAGCCCAGGAGCCGAACACTCTCTGGAACCTCTCCCGCATTAATTCCTTCAACGAGTTTCTCTAAAATCCTTGTAAATGAGATGCCTGTCAGTGCAGTTCCATCCAGAGCCCGCCCTTTGCAATCGCGAAAAACGCGGGAGCGCAGCTGCCCAAGTCGTCGTTGGTAAAGGGGTACAAATTCAGAGACGCTGACTGCCTCCAGAGCCCTTGCCTGGGTCTGGCCAGACGATGCCTGCTGCTGGTATGGTACGTATTGGCCAAGTGGGGAAGGGAGAGCGACGCAGTCACGATCATCGAATAGATCTGATACCTCCTGACGTGCCATGCGAATCTGAGAATTCTCCAACGCTAGAGCCAACTTGCTGAGGTTTTGAGCATCTCGACTGAGGGTCAGGCTCAGCAGGGCTTCTAGATAATCGCCTGCTGTCAAAGGATTTTGCTGCTCGTCTACCATGGACATGTTGAAGTCTTGGAGTACCCACAGCAATGAAGGAGCTCTCCAACTGCTCGGCGAAGGACAAACTGCAGTTTTAAAACACAGCAAAATATAGCAATATGGATATGGAGACGCTTAAACCTGCTCACGCGAGTTTCTGGAATGAAGGATCTATCCTTGACGGTAGCATACCGGGCTTCGAAGCCAAAGACGCCGCATCCACCTTGCCTTTTGGGCTAGGAGAGGCGGATGGGCCGGCATTTGTCGGAGTTGGCGGTTTCTGGTCTGGCCGATCTGCGCCTATGTGGGTCACTCGCAACCGTTGCGTCCATGACGACGCCTACAAAAGAACGAGATAAAGGGTGTACAGTTGAAGATCAAGGATACAAAATGCAGGAACAGGATGGGGTTAGGCATGCAGAAACCCGCAAAAAAAGAATGAAATATCCACGAGGAGGGGGTCGTGTGTCTGTGTATTGACGGGCTCACTGAGGCTAGGCTGAAAAGAGTGTCGCTGTCAACAGCTCCTCTTGTGACGAACACCAGAAAGTGGGAAACCAACAGAGCAAGGGTAAACAAGCGCTGATCGTGCTCCACAGTTTTTCTCCTGCTCCTGGGACCATGAAGAACAGCCAGACAGGGCAGCGGTGGCCAGTCCAGTCACAAACGATACGGTATGTTGAAATTCCTCTTCGTGGGTAACTTTCCATACAACGAAGCGGGAAGGGAAGTTTCTACTAACCCGATTCCTTCAAAATCTAGGACGAGGTACACCAAATTGTCTTTGTCGCCTTCTGCCTCCACAGCTGATACCCAAACTCCTTCAGTCTTGCCCTCCGACTCAGCTCGCTGCGCGAAGCGTGAGCCTTTATGCATCGCTGGAGCTGCCGTAGATGACCCGACGGCGAAGCCTACTGTACTGGACATCACGTCGCTGAAAGAAAAAGGAGAGGCCACAAGATGCCCCTTTGCTTACTGCGGTAAAGGTTGCAACGTGCTTGAGACGAGCAAGGCCTAAAATACGCCCAAGCTGCTCTCCACAGAAAATGGCGCATTAAAAACGCCCCACTTACTCGTCCAGCAGGAGGTTTGCAAGCCCTGACTTTCCAGTCTGGAGTTCCCCGCAAATTGAGATGACGGCGACAGATCTCGTTGAGAGTTCTGAAACGAGGTACACCAAATTGTCTTTGTCGCCTTCTGCCTCCACAGCTGATACCCAAACTCCTTCAGTCTTGCCCTCCGACTCAGCTCGCTGCGCGAAGCGTGAGCCTTTATGCATCGCTGGAGCTGCCGTAGATGACCCGACGGCGAAGCCTACTGTACTGGACATCACGTCGCTGAAAGAAAAAGGAGAGGCCACAAGATGCCCCTTTGCTTACTGCGGTGAAGGTTGCAACGTGCATGAGACGACCAAGGCCTAAAATACGTCCAAGCTGCTCTCCACAGAAAATGGCGCATTGAAAACGCCCCACTTACTCGTCCAGCAGGAGGTTTGCAAGCCCTGACTTTCCAGTCTGGAGTTCCCCGCAAATTGAGATGACGGCGACAGATCTCGTTGAGAGTTCTGAAAGCCAACGGCGAGCCCCTTCGTCTGAAACCGTACAACACAATAAGAGCTTCTCTAAGTTATTGCAAGACGCATCAACGGTAAAGATGCAAGTCAATGCCCCCGCTCCAGTGCTACCAAGGGAGTTAGCAGGGTAGTCCAGGATGTATTCTGACCAACGGTTAGGACTTCCTTGCCGTCCCACCGATTCACGTGGATGAGCTGCATGGGCCGGGGCTGACGACATACGCAGTAACACAAGAATAGTACGCAAGATCTGTGCAACCGCCACAATGCTGGGGCTTTGACTCCGTTGCAAGGCTCTGCAGCGTTGCCTCACCAGCAATTTCTTCTTTGCCGTCAACAGTCTGCTGTCCCTGCTGTGAGCAAGTGCATTGCTCAGAATGGCTGTTCCACGGTCGGAGGGAGCCTGCCCTCTTAGCGGAAGGCCCATGACTCCATCGACTAGCAGCATTGGCTCCGTTAAGCTGGTGATCGTAGAGCGTTCAGCATGTTCATCAGTCGGGATTTTTTGATGTTCCAAAGCTGCACGGGTAGCGTCCCCCACACGGTATTTCTCGTGGGGCAACGAGACTGCAGGCACGCCGTCGTCCCCTACCATTGCAGAGTCTGCCACAATTGGAGAAGCTGGGAACTGACGGCGGTAATCTGAAACCAGGAAGGATAGCACCAGGCAGCAGCGGTCACGGGTACAAGCTTTCGACCAGCATGTACTTCAAAACGGATGACTAGCACCGTACCACAGCGGCGAACTAAGTAAATTCAGACTGTCGAAATATTCATGCAAACCCAATGCACCGGCCGTTGTTGCTTGCTATTTACACTCACACGACGTGTAGTAGTTAGTCGTTCCCCCAGCTATTGGGGACGCAGTGGTTGCCGGCTCCGCGTAGTGCATTGCTGTGCACAAAGAACAAGATAAGCGACCGCCCACTCGAAGTCAATGCGCCGCTCTACTAGCGTTGCGACTTCAGACAAGTAAACCCGGAATGCGAGGGTATCGTGGGCGTGTACTTTCTGTGAAAGGATACGATGGGAACTCTGCGGCAACATGCGCGGGAGAGGAATAGTTCTGGGGGGTGGCAGGCTGTGCAAGCGAGCTCCTTGCAGCGTCCCGCCCGTTGACTGAACACAGAAACACTCGGACAGTATTGTCACAGCAAAATGAACAAAAGGGCTCCACACGGTAAGGTACAAATACACGAGGCAATTGTGCTAAAGTTTACCCTTCTCTGCTCACCTGCAGGAAAGACTGCGGATGGGTAGGAAGTGCCGTCG